AGCACCTTCAGCTCCACGCTTCAGACGCGGGGCGAGGCGAGGAGGAATACGTGGTTGGTGTGCGACACACAGGGCTTACTAAAGTTTGGGTTTCCTGGAATTCTTCTGAGCGAAATAATGCGGAAATGGAGGAGAATAATAACAAACCTGCCAGGTTTCTTTTTCATCTGGCGGAGAAAGCTGGAAGTCGTATAAGAGAGAGCTAATTTGAAGAGAAAAGTGGTTGCGTTGAGTGAATTTTGTCTTCAACTTCCTTTACCCCAGTTCATGGGAAAAGTGCTCTTGTGCCCGTTGCAGAAAATGCTCGCTAGCAGTGTTTTGGGTCAAGAGTTTCTCTGTGAGTTAGAATCTCTTCAGGCCATTTAAAGCCATCTTGCACCTGCGCGTCTCGATTATACCTTGGAGTTTCTTGTTAATGTAACTTTTCTACATCAAAGAATTTGTCATTCAGATGCTGTCGAGCATCATTTCATTATTCATTTCTAATCTTTTTTTCGTCTCATTATTTCCCCTGGTACTACGTGTTAGCCATGTCAGGGCAGCTCTGAAGTTCTGTGGCAGAACATTTATGTGAATATATGTAAGAAATGTTCTCAGAAGTCGTAAGTTCTTGTAAATCTGACAAACGGTGCTTGATTGTCAGCCATGATAAGGGTTTCCTCTTACTTAGTGTGATATTTCAGTTTGGTTATTTGCCATCTTGCTAAGTTTGAAAGTGATTAAAGACTTTGGGGTGTGACTTCTCCAAAATAAAAAGACTTGTAAAGTGGTTTCATTTGTTAATTTTTTTCCCTGCACTTCTGTGACACTCTTACAACAGGTTTTTCTTTAAAAAAAGTGCTAGTGGGTTTTTTCTCTTCCTGTTTGAAGTACTGAAACTTAAACAGAATAGTGTGTTTGCTGCAGTAACTGTAGCTTCAGCCCCAGCCTTTACAGTGGTTGGGTCTAAAGCTGGTGCTTTATCTACAGATGTTTAGACTGTCTTAGGAGAACGTCCGTGAAGAGACTCAACAGCACAACGTCGAGGCCTCAGGGATGCCATTGGCTTGTGTGATGTGCATAGAGATGCATTTCAGAAGTCTTGAATCATTCTACAGCATTGGATAAAATTGTCAAGAGCTGTTGAAAACTCTTTTGTGTGCTTGAAGGGCTTTGCTGCAGAGGGGACCCCGGGTTTTCTCTTCAGCTGCTGCTGTACTTGCAGCTTCCCAGCACTGGCAGCCTGAATGGCCACTGCCTGACGTCACTCCTGTGACAGGCTGGGCTGTGCAAAGCAGCCTTGAGACCAGAATATTGGGTGACGGCAAACTGTGATGGAGCCCAGTCATCCTCACCAGACCTAAAACATGTTTTGAAATAGGCCAGCCAGTGTTACAGCAGGTGAGGAGCAGGAAGCAAAGATTTTAGAGGATGAAATTATGCTCCTAAATACGTTACCCCATAAAATGTTCCTCCAGTATCCACAATGCAGTTCTGCAAAGGGTGTTGATTTGGTTGTCTACATAATCAGAATCCAGTGAAGAACAAGCACCAGCTTCACTAGGTTCTGTTACATGTGGTGTTACCTGATGGTGAAGCTCAAGAAGGAATGTCTTTCATACTTCAGAGGGCATTGCTCTTGTGTAACAGGGATGGGATCCTCCTCTGGGTCAGTTGTGTTGCACTTTGACTTTGGTAAAGTCAGTATAAAACTCCAAATTACAGATTAGTGACACAGGTGCTTATTGAAGCTCTTGTAAGGGGGTTTCTCTGTGCAGACACAAAAATCCCCCAGTGGTTTTCAGAGCAAAGCTGCAGAATACATTTCAGTGCAAATGTATATGCCAAATTTTTGGTTTATATGGATAACCACGAATTTCAGTTTTTATCAATCAGATTTGATGCCTAGACTCTCCTTCAGAAGATAAAAGAAAAAAAGCTAGACCAGGGTATTCAGCCTCAGTGGGATGTTTGGAGTTCTAACTTCTGGACTGTCGTGGTTTAAGCCCAGCGCTGAACCCAGGACATGGACATACCACAGTTTTGTGCAGAAGTCTGGACTAAATGTTAAGAGTGATCTTGGAAAGGACAAAGTGAACCTTGAGTGAACGTGACCGACTTGCTCTGGTTGGTTCAAGCGCTCTAAGCTTTTATGGATCAGTAACTGTTGCTTTTCATAATGGAAACATAGTAATAAAAGCAAAAGTAAACAGGATTTTAAGCTCTTTTTCCGCTCTTTTTAAGGTGCTGGGAAAGCAGAACGGGTAGTTGAGACCTGTTTAAAAAAGGGGTGGGTGTCCTCTGTTGTGCTTACTCTTGTAAGCATGTTCTGTAAAAGCAGAATTCCCTTCAAAAAGATACTCACTTCGAGTATATCGAGTGATGGGTTTAAACTCCCCTTCTCTTAATTTGATCTGAATTTCTTCACCTGTGTTTTATAGTAGATGCTCTCCTAATATTGTGGAAGAACTGCAAACCCTGTAACATTCTTACTCAAAACACTTGGGAAATGTGCTATTCTGCTCATCAAGCAAAATGAAATAGAAAACCGAACCTGGGACTCTGAACTGGTCCTGGAAGAATCATCTGAAGGACAAAGGGTGCACTTCTAAGACTGTCTTTTGAGCTTAGAACTTGCCTGAGTTCAGTGTTGGAGGGTGCACTTGACTGTTTTAGTAGTGCCCCCATGTGATGTCTTCAAGACAAGCTCATGCTAACTGTGAATGAAGTCATTTGGCCTCACAGCTGACATCTGTCTGTCTGTCTGCTGGGATGTCTTCAACACTCTGCCAATGTAGTGTTTTAGAGAAGACTTTCAAGCAAGTTTTAAATGCAGCCCTTTGCTGTGCCGTTCTGTGGTGCAGTGCTAGTCTGGGGCATTGCTTTGGTCCCAGCTCAGAGTGCAGTTAATACCTGGGCTGACATGCCACGTTAGTCTTTGGAGCTTTCAAGAAGGATGTGGAGTTCCTGTTTGCCTGGTGGGGTTGGGAGCAAGTCACATGCCTATTTAAAAGCCCTCATGTTCCAGTGGAGCTCACCTGTTGCTTTGGCTCTGGCACCAGCAGGTTGAGGACCGTGGGGGTGTGCTGTCAGCTCACATCATCTCCCATGGCCAGGTCCTTAGGGCAGGCTGTTTGGTCCATGACCACCTTGTTTCCAGTGTGGCTTTTGCTTTCCCAGTCATGCACTGAAGCAGCAAGCAGTGCCAACAAGACATGAAGGCATCAGGCAGTCTGTGTAATCAGATTGATGATTGAAAGTGTGTTAGATTCGGTTGACTCGTCCCTTCAAAGGAACATAGGTGCTCTTTTGGAGCACAGCACTGTATAATTGTAATGCAAATGCAAATTAAGTGAACTGCTTGGCCTACTGAACTGGCTCATTCAAAGAATGATATCCCAGTTGTAGGTGAGATCATTGATACCTATTCTGGTGGAAGCTGAAATGCCAGAAATAGTAGTCCGGGCAGGATTACTGAGGATGTTTCAAGGCAGTGCCTTTGGTGCCAGCGACAGAGATGATTTCCTTGTCGCAGTGTGCCAGTGGTGCTGATCAGAACAGAGTTTAAAAAGCACATCATGAGAAAGCAGATTTTTAAGCACAAGGGAGAAAATGTGTGCTTGGGAATTACCCTCTTTCCCAGCAGAGGCAGCCTGGCTCGTGAGTAGTCATTTTTGTATCTCACTCTGCAAATCCTTCCCCCAGCAGCATAATAGCTGGTTGCAAAGCACCTAAGCCTGGTAAAGGCTTTCCTTTGTCATTTCACATCCAGACTTGCCTTCTGATGGCGTCTGTCCTGGTGAGCTTCTGGTGTGCTGTATCTGGGTGAAAACACTTCTGTAGACAGTGCTCAGGGAGATGCTTTTCACTGCTGTCAGACTCAAAATGGTGGATTAAAGCAGGCCATGAAATAAAGTAGGAACTTTTTGAGTACCTTGTTTATAGCATATGTGTGACACACAGTACTAAAACTAGCAGATTTCCAGAATTGCAGCTGAATTTAAAAGTGGGGTTTTTAAGTCATGCATTAAATGTGAAGCAGTATAAACTTCAGAGCATAACCTGAGCTGTTTGCTGCAGGAAGAAGGTTGTGGACACTAATGCAATTGTTGGATTAAGATATCTAAGTCAGTGTAAGGCAGCAGTCAAAATAGCTCGTCTGCCTGCATTCCTTCCTTGAAACACTTCTTTCTCTTTACTTTTTGAAACATACTACTTTCTTGTAGAACAGAAAGGAGCTTTTAGACCATCCAGATCTTCCGTTGCTTTTGCAAGCTTCCTGACTTGATTGAATCCTTATGTTTAATCACAGGTCAGATTGGCAAAAGCCCAGTGCCACTTACTGGCCATCACTGGCAGGAAAATGAGTTTTGTGCTGTCAGGGGAATAGGCATCAAAAACGTTGTTGCCTCCAGTTACTTTGAACCAATTCTGTTGAAGCTTGGACAAATGTGAGGAGTAGCCTTGTTGAGCACGATGCCACTGCTGGCTTTGCAGATGTGGAGTCATGTGGTGAGGCAGTGACGCTGCTTTGCAGGTCCTGGAAGTTGCCAAGTCTCTGCTGGGGGATGCTGCTGCCTGCAGGGAACAGCTTCCTGCTGGGAGCTGCCAGTTTAGTCCGAGAGCTGTTAGACTGAGCTGGCATCTGTTGAATTCAAACCAAGCAAACACAACTTTCCAGGGGCTTCAGGAGCAGCATTCCAGCTTTAGTTCTTTCCTGTTTGAAAAATAACCAGTTAGCTCTTTAGCCTGCATCTAACAACATTTCATCACCAAAATGAGTTCGTTTAATTGAGTCAAAGGAAAAATAAGTGTATTAAAGCCAGCTGGTATCAGATCCCTTCACAGAACTAACTCCATTTCAGTGTACACTGAGCAGCTGAGAGGTGTGGTTGTTGATGGGTTAAGCTCCAAGAAAGGGAGATAGGGCCTCCCTTCTGTGTTCTGCACTAGCAGCACGGGTGAGTTGCTCTTGGTTAACAGCAGTGAAAGCAATGGCACAGAGTTCTCTCGCTTTAGCCATGTGCAGGGCCAGCAAGTCACAGTTCAGAACACTCTGTGCAGGTGAGACTTTGCTGTGGCCTGGTTTTCCCCAGAGATCTGTTGGTTTTGTAGCCCAACAGCAGCCAAAGCAACTTAAGCTAGATGAGGAAAGACACCACCCCCCTGCCCCCCGCCCCCCGCACTAGCAGACTCTCCTTTATAGTGACCTCTGAGGAGATTTTGCTGTTGGCATTCAAACTGTTAAAAAATCATAAAAAGAAAAAGATTTTGTTGTTTGTGTTTGATTATCCAACCTGAAGCTTTCTCGGAATGGTCTTTCAGTGTGATGAGACAGTAAAAGCATGATGCTACATCTATAACTTTGCTTTTAGATCAGTAAAGGGATTCTCTGAAGTGCTAAATGATAACAATATATATTCTTAGGAATTGACTAATGTTTGTTCTGGTTTTATGTTGGTTTCAGAATACACAGATGATAATGCCCTGATTCCGAAGAACTCATCTGTAATTGTGAGAAGAATCCCTATTGGCGGAGTGAAAGCTACCAGCAAAACATACGTTATGTGAGTGTCCCTAAAGCGTGTACTGAGAGGGGTTTCGGTGGGTAAACTTAGAATTTATCTTAGTTATAGAGGCATTCAGATGGTATCTTTCTTGTTAAAGCTGCTGTTTAGTTTTGTTGTAGTGGGGTAGATTTTAATGTATGTCCCAAAGTAGACTTAACATTTTTAGCCCTGCTGGTACACGGGGTTCAAACCCCAACACTGGCAACTTGTAAGATGATTATATGGGGTTTGTTCCTGGGGTTGATTTTGCTAAAAGCCAAGTTGTAGGTCCTGTTTCCTGTACATGGGGAGGTTCTTTATTCTCTGTGTTTGCATTTATAGTAAAGACAGATAATGCATTGTAGTGTGAACTTGCAGTTTGTTCCCATCTAGAAGACTCTGATTCTCAGTGTTTGACTGTATGTTGCATTTGGGGGAGGAGGTTGGGGCATGGCAATATTCTCGCACCCCAAGTATGGGTTTTTTACATACTAGCTATAGGGGAAAGACCAAGGCTTGCCAGCTGACAAACCATGCTCTCAAGAAGTTCCATTCCTAAGTGATTCCTATTACTTTCTTAAAGGCAATGTCCATTTCAGGCGAGAGAACAACAGCAATATCCTGAAGTTCATTGCCTTTTGTGCAAGTACAATGAAGGAATAGTTAGTCCTTTCCAAACCTGAGACTCAGGTAGCAGTTTAGCACGTTACCGAACATAACTAGTTATCCTCCTAAGTCTGTTTGTACCCTAAGCTGGTATCTGTGCTCCAGGTTTTAATTCTGTGTTCCTAAGATATATGGAGTACAGAGCATCAGAGGTATTGATGAAAGCTACAGCTATTCACATGCAGTCCTGACCACAGCATTACTGCTGTCACTTATGTATTTGTACAGACCAATTCTATATCGGCTACATCAGCACTGTTTGAGTGGTCATGTTTTCCAGCCCTCTGAAAGATATACCTCTCCCCTACAATCAGTAGTAGATGATATTAGCTTGTGGTTTTGCCGTGTCTTTCTCATGTTGGTTCTCAGTAAATAGACTGATGAGTTACAGTCTGTCTCAAACAAACAGTACAGCAGCATCCTGGTACCCATGGAGCATTTGCAAGCAAAAAGCCCTGAATTAATGTGGCTCTGGATGTAAACTTTGGGCATATTAACAGCAGTAGTTGTTGCTCTCCGGCACTACCTCGTAATTCTGGAGGCTACAGCATTGTGCTTATAAACATGGCCTTGTTTGGGAGGTTAATTTAAATATATGTGCTTAGTGCTGTCTTCTCAATGCATTTTCCCTTTTGGGTTGGATGACACCCTCCCTCCTCTGGTGTTGTAATACTGCCCTAAAGCAAGGGATAGGTGCTGCAGGCAGCAAAGATCATATACATACCTGTGTGGGGGTAAGGAAAGAATGGCACTGCTCTTGAAAATTAAGCAGCAGATCAGCTTCCTGTTCCTGCAGCTGGGAACATTGCAGAGCCAACTGGTAGAGTGGTTAATGCTTGGGAGTGGTGAAGGTCTGCTGTAATCGTGGAGAGGCCTTCAAAAATGCTTTACTCACCTTGTACTATTCAAGGTTAGCAGATGTGGTAATCCAAAAGTATTTCCATGTACTTCCTCATCTTCAGGGGCTACGTGGCTGTAATTGGGAGCCTGGGGGTGTTCTAGCAGTGGCAGGAAGCACGAGCCTTTCTCTTTGTACGTCAATTCCACAGCAGCAGCTTTTAAATTGCCTCTGCTCATGGGATGCTCTGGATGATGCGTGCATTGTTTGTTAACCATCTCCGTGGTTGCATGTCTGGTTCATGATGAGTAGCATGCAGGTACAGATTGATGAGTATGTGGAATCTCAGCAGGTTTTCAAATGTAATAAATATTTCCTAAAATATTGTAGCATTTTCAAGATGATCTTAAAGCAAATTCTGGCAATTAAGACCTTTTTTTCTGTCACAGGACTCCTAAATCGCACAAAACCCTAGAAACTGCTTTCAGGTGACATTTCTACTACTATTTTTAGTCAATATAGCATATGTAACACGTTTAGTATTTTGGTGCTTTCATGGCTAAATACGGTAGATATCTGAACACAGTGCTTGGGCTTCCACAAAGAAACGCTGTTGTAAAAACTAAGCTGCCAACAGTTTTGTTCTTTCTTTGTCAGATGACTGAGGTTTTTCACTGAAGTGAGCTTGCACTTCATGGTGTTGGGACTCTCACTGTTCTGTCTTAGAAACTGAAGTGCTGTCTCTGGCACCTGGTTGTAACACTAAGGATGTACAGATTGGCTAAAGTGACCTTCGTAGCTTGACAGTTGGTTATTTAAGAACACAAAACTGTGATACAGGCTTCCTATTTTTGAGACTTCCGTAGCAGACAAAATGAGGACTTCCTCTTGCACTGTTGTGTTCTATATCTGTAAGTCTCAGAGTAATTGCTGACAAAGTACAAATGTGGTATTTGGTGGGTTTTTAGTTGCTCTGAATGTACCAAGAGAGATCAGTTTATGTATATGAATAAATTTCCACATTCCCTAGCCTATAGGGACATGCTGGTTTGGTGTTCAGGTTTTATCATCTGTTTTCACTGTTTTATGTTGGGTACCAGTGCTTTATTTTAAATTCTGATCACCTTTATTTCTTCTTCTAGAAGTCGAACTGAGCCAGTGAGTGGAACATCAAAAGCAGTATGTAAAAACCCAATCTCACACTTTTTTCTACACACTGATCTTAATTTTACACAACGTAGCCCTTTATTAATTTTCCAAACATTAACTTAAGCTATTTTCCAGTAAAATATAGTGTCTGTTGTAAATACAATGTATTTGATTCAGCGTAGTAAAAACTGAGTAATGCCATTATTTGCACAGTTCTAATGTGAATACTGGTATTTGTGCTAGTACTGGATTGTATTTCCTATTGCATATGATAGACTATTCCTGTATGACTCTGTGTTGTACAGATTCTGTGCGCTCGGGTTCACATCCTGGCGGTTGGAGGTTTGCACAACTGAACATGGTGCCATGTTCTACATCTGTCTGTCTATAGCTAGTAATATGTATGTTTGTATAGGTTGTTGTGTGCTTTTTGTTTCTTGCAATAAAAGTTGTTTGGAGTGTACTTTTTGCCATTTTCACATTGTATCACTTAGCTTTTTGTTTTAAATACCTTTTTTTCTTTTTTTGCCTAATGGTTTTTGAAGATGTGATCAAAAACCACTGAGAAACCACTGTTGTTAACCTTGGTACTGTTCCTTCTGACTTGGGGGTTCAAACAAATCCCAACCCCAACATATCCCACATGTTCTGAGGACAGTTCTGTGCAGCTGAATGATTCCTTTTCATGTCCTTAAGTACTTGGGCATTTGTTCCTGAAACTGTGTAATTGAGGTGGTATTGTTCGGGCCCCTCTGAGTACCTGAATGTCTTTAATAGATTGCCATGAATTTAAATATCATTGCTACACAAAGTGGTGTTCTAAAGTTCTGCATTTGCTCTTTTCCTTTTACCTGATGAAGCTGTTTCATAGTTTGTCTGCAAATGAAAATATCTGATACAAATTCTGGCACAAGATCAGAGCCTGGTGCGTTGCTGGGTTAACCCCTGTTGATATTCTGCACTGCCTGCAGTACATTTTTGCGTCTGGGTGACTTCAGGGTTGGGTGCTGCTTTCATCTCCCAAAGGTTAAGTCTTTCTTTAGTATACCACCGCTTTGAGTTTGCATTTGGAAAAGGGCAGCATTTTCCGGTTTGAAAACACTATTGTCTGCTGCTAAACTATAAGTAACACACAGAAATACTGGACTGGTAATGGTCTAGATCTTGATTTGCCTCTTGGGTCAAATATGATGTGTAACTGCTCATTTCAAAATAGTCCTTACCATATAAAAGTTACGACTTGGTGCTTTTTATTTTTCATCTTTATTTTAAGTATATCTGCTTTTCCTTCACTAGACTGGTGTGAGGCATTACACTAACCCTGGATCATTGGATCTGACCCCTTGATAAGCTCTTAGGATAACTTGATGTAGAAATTGATGAAGTCAGGGTCTGTGTTCTGTGAAGGATACAGCCTCTGATTCTCATGGAATGCTATGCAACAACTGAAAATTGAAAACTTGTGTGTGTAGGTCTAAAACCACTAAGTCCAAATCTGCATCCATAATTCTATTGCCGATTGATTTGAATTCCTTTTTGGACATGAATGCCTCTCATTTTGAGTTGGAGATAGTTTGCCCAGTGACCCTAGTAGTTAATGTAATGCATTTATGTAAACCACCTTTACAGGATTTGATCTAATTCCGATGGGTTTTTATTTCTTGAAAACAGTTACTTTTCTTTTTGTTTACTAGCATGTGTATAAACACAAATCACATGTTCATAAATAAAGTTAACATTCTTTTAGCCTCGTGTGTTCCCTGGCATGTCTGTATTATGTTTCTAAGTAGCATCTTACCATAAGCTAACATAGATACCTCAAAAAAGATAAAATCCTGGAGTGGGAGGGAAGATTTAGTGTTAATTAGAACTAATTGAACTGAATGAAAGAGCAAAACATTCCCTTCTGTTTGCTCTGGCTGTACCTGGATTGGGTTGTGGATAGCATAGGGAGGGTGGAAGCCTCACATTGCTCTTGACAAGTCCTTTCTTTCACTGTAAAAGCACTGCAGCAGCCTCAGGTGCTTCTGGTGGTGGAGACACACTGAGCATTGTTAAAGCTAACTCAGGGCCTGCTCTGAAGCGTGGGGGTTGGTTTGTTGGGGTTTGGGGTTTGTTTTTCATACATGTATTTCTGAATGTATTTCAAAGCAGAACCTGGATCTTAGTGTGGCAGGAGTAAATCCCTGGAAAACTTGCCAATTCTTATTGAAGGATAAAGCAGCAAAATGAAAATGAGTTAAGATTTTTTTAAAGGATGCGTAAAGCCAAACTCTGTTTCTTCATTGTCTGGCTCTTACGTTAGCTACCATTCTAGACCCAAAGTTGTGCTGCTGTCCTATTGTTAGTACAGCCAGAGCAAGAAGGTGGATCCTTTCTGGTTTAGTATTCCTGTGTCAGGAACTGCAGGGATCTCCAGTTAGTGCTTGTCCTTAGAGGCTGCAGAAATGCGGAGAGTCACGCCCATTGGTTTAATGCCATCAAGCACAAGTGTGACCCTTCCTGGCTGGATGTTAAGTTCAGCCAGGCTATAGGGTTTAGGAAACTACTATGATTTAAATGTAGCACTCCCACAGTGAGATCAGCCTTTTCCTCCCATTTGCTGTCCCCTTTCCCACTTGCTTTGTGTTAGTTTCTGCTTAGTCTTTTCTTTGAAATGGGAATTAATACACTGTTGAGTATGGTTTGGGCAGGAGGGGTGTTGTCCCATGTCCCCTCCCCGATTCTTCTGCAGTATTATCTCTGGGTTGTATGCAAGTGTCATGGAGATGTTGTTTGTGCTGGACTGAGTGGAGGGACTGGCAGGAAATACTTGAGTAGAAGCTTAAAGGTGGGGGGAATAGACAGAGGAATGTAGGGTCATTGAAAGGCAGCTGTTGGGCAAACACATACCAAATAGTCCATTGATTGCCTGTTTGCTGCTTTTGATACCTGCTGAGTAGAAAGGAGTCCTACTGCTTCCTTTAAGGAATTGGACTGTTGCCTGCAGGCCATCTAATAACTGCTTCCTAAAAAACCCCAGAGCTAGTTCATAATTTACTAACTGTTCTGTTTTGGTTACTGGTCAGTCCTAGACCACTTAATGCTAGGCTCCAACAGGCAGCTTCCCTAATTCCTTGTTTCCTTCTGAAAAACCACGGAATGACAGTGGTTGAACCTGCCACGAGAGAATACGGGCCTGCTTTTCCACATGTAAAAAAGAGTGGCATATGGAGTGTGAAGCTACAAAATCCTTGATCAGACTTCCTTTTAACAGAACTAGGTGCAGAATGTTCTCAAAAGGAGGAAAGTTCAATCTTTGGTAAGATTTAAGTGGAAAGAAGATCTCTCTTTCCAGATCTGGGTGTTCCTCTCCAAACGCAAGTTTAAGAGCTTGTAGTTAGTAATGCAGTAATGTTGTATGTGCTCTCCTAGGCATGTAGAGAATGAATTGTTAACTGGTGCGAGGTATTTTTTCCCCAGTCTGCTAAAACTGGTCCTT